CCCTCTCATTTTTAGATCACTGTAGTTGACTATTTTATGATTAAACGATTTACTCTTCAATAATAATCTGAATCTTCTAAGCTTAGGTGAGTTATACACAAATATTCTTTGAGATAATGTGCCTTTCCCCTTTCTTTGGAAAAAAAAACACCTTCACTTGGTTTTATTTTATTAAGTGCAATGTTATTCCCTTAAAGCTATTTATAATGTAAAATAAACTATCTCCAAGTGAGGTAATACTCCAGAAACAATAAGGATATGGTGAGGTTGCTCTCATGAGTTCTGTGATTTGTAAAATTGTACAATTTTATGGTTTGAGTTTAAAGCTGAAAGGGACACAAGATCTGCTAATAATAGGCTTCTAAAGGAAAACCTGGTCCTCTGTTTCCAAGGAAAGATGGAAACTAGATTAGGTTTCACCTTCAAAATGAAAGCAAAATCTATTTGAATAGATAATCAAAATGAAAAATGAATAAGTCAAAGAAAATACATCAAAATGCATGAGGAAATTACGCCTGGGAGAGGAAATTGTGTTTTTAATTGTCTTCTGTATACTCTTTTTTTTTTAAAAAATATATATATATTTTATTGATTTTTTACAGAGAGGAAGAGAGAGAGATAGAGAGTTAGAAACATGGATGAGAGAGAAACATCGATCAGCTGTCTCCTGCACACCTCCTACTGGGGATGTGTCGGCAACCAAGATACATGCCCCTGACCAGAATTGAACCTGGGACTCTTCAGTCCGCAGGCCGACACTCTATCCATTGAGCCAAACCAGTTAGGGTGTCTTGTGTATACTCTTTCGTACTTATTAACATTTGTTTAATAAATACTCAGTATTACTTTAACAGTAAAAATTTACAGGCTTTTTAATTGAACACACTCAGTACAAACAGAGCCTAAGATGAATAATGCGTTAAGAAGCAAAAGCCCACTATCTAAAACCATCCTAAAAAAAAAAACTTCAGGAGCAAGTTCTCTGCATTGTCAATCCTTATTTTCACAGATCCTGCATACATCTTCCATGAGCATTCATGAATGTTTACTGAATGATAACCATGTTCAGCTACAAATAAAAATACTCTCACCTCAGAGAATTTTGATATTTGCACATCAGAAATGTCTAAATAGTAAATTTATCAATGAGGATTCTGCTTTCAGTTCCCGTAGTGAAAATAATCACAGCTACTAAGACTAGAGAAGGCTACAACTGAAGACAGAAGGAAGATTCCAGCACGCTAGATAGAGCAAATAGCATTAGATGATGCAGGACAGGATAAGACATGTACGGGAACCCTGAGCTGCACCGATGTTGCTGTTACTGTCTTACAGTTGACAGGTTGGAAGAGATGAATTTTAAGGTCTCTTCCACATCTAAAAGCCAATAAAAGTCAATGAGTAAAACGATTCAACATTTAAAAGAATGCGGTCACTGCATATTACTAATATGGAAAAATGTTAGACATTAATTATTATGTGAAATGAAGTGAGTCACTGACTCTAAGGTATGATCCCATTTGCGAAACATAGAGGAATTATATCTGTCTGATATATGCATCTATAAGACATATACCTACATATTATATTGATATATGTCCGTATACGTAGCAGGTAGACTTTCTGGAAGGAGAACAAACTGGTACAAATGAGTATTTGGGAAGTGCTCTTCTCCCATTTATTTTCCTAACATTATCTGGGAAATGAGTTCACCAAATAGGTTGATCACTGGGATGCGAGGATGGATGCTGACCTTTACTAGAGGTTCTCATTGCCTCTTTGTTTCCCTGACACATAAACTCTCCAGCCTGTGACCCCACTGACTTTAAGCTGCTGTGAGACAGGAACAACTTAGTTTTCATTGTATCCCTGGTACATAACAGGTACTTTAAAATACATGATGAAAGGAAGAACTCTTCCAAAACAACCTTCCAACTACATGTTCCACCTTTATCCTCTCCTCCCCCAAACCCTCTTGTCCATTGCACCAAGGTTATTTTTCTCAAACTCTGATTTCCTCAGGTCAGCCCCCCTCCATAAAACTTCTCATGGCACACAATTTCCTTCTGGGTAAAGCTCACACTCCTTATTCTGCAACACAAACCACTTTGTAACTCTATCTTCACTCTTTTCCATGTGCCGCTCATTGTTTCACAAACACACTGTGTGCTTAGATCATTCCATGACTGAGTGCTCTTCTCCCATTTATTTACCTTTAAGCTCATGCTTCAAAATGTAGATCAAATTTCTCCTCCTCCTTTACAGCCTGCAGTAGCATTAACTGTTTTCATTTCTGGACAACCACAGTATAATCTCCATTTCCAGACTCAGATTCTTGACTGGTCATGATAGGCAAACACCTGTTCTCTTGTAATACTAAGAATAAGCACTCAGCAGCAATCATATATTATTACTGCATTCCAAGTGCCTGGCATGGGAGCTTTGAGAATGACTAGTAGAGTTAAATGTTTACTAATGGGATTTAAAAAATAAACAACCACTTCTGTGTTTGGAAGTTTTTTTTAGAAAGTACCTTAACAGCTCAGATAAGAGGTGATAAGAAACTCTTGTGATGAAGACAGACACTAGAAGAGCCATTTCAGAGGTAAACCAGGGAATTATTACCCTGTCTACAGAATTATAAACTAGATTCTCACTCACAAAATTACATAACTATTCTTTGATGAACATTCACTACTCTGCTATTTTCAATGAAATAAACATACTGCAATTTTGTTCGAAAATCTGTAATTACATGGATATTTATCTATTTTTTTAAATTCAATATATTTGATATATGATAGTGTATAAACTTAAGGTGTACAACATGTTAAGTGGATACATTTACTAGTACATACTGTAATATGGGTGCCACTATAGGGATATTTAGTAACTCTATCACATTACATAGTTATTGTACAATGTTGTCATCAATGTTCATTATATTATGCATTACAGATGCATGTATTATCTACTATTGGTTGCAAGTTTGTACCCTATCAGGATTTGATAAGCATTTGTTTTAAGGAGAAAATATATTTTAGGAATACCTTGGTTTTTAAATGATCAAATGAACAAAGCCAACAAAATCTTAAACCTAAAATCACATCATTATTGTATTATTCTTTTACCTTCTTTTGCTGGTGGAATGGTTGGAGGAAAAGTAGGTGGTTGAGTAGGAAGCGATTCTGTAGAGAGGAAGAAAGAGCATCAATTAGCCATCTCATCTGTGGCGAAGAGAGGGAGGTCATGGAATAATAATTCTTCAGGGGACTCAATGACTGGGACAAATCTCTTCTTAGAGAATTTAGTGGCTGCTATAAGTTAGCCACAGCCTGTGAAAACTGTCTCCATCCATCCCCTCAACCTTAGAAAGAAGGCTTGAAATGCCATTTCGCCATAGTTCAATTTACACAGCAGGAGTCGATACAATCAAACTGTCAACTACAAAGTGATTCTAATGTTGATTTAAGGCAGGAATCCTGCCAACCTATTTCACATTAGTCTCTGGCTTCTTTCACACATGTAAACATCATTTCCATTCTGCCTAAGCAAGGACTGACCATCAATCCTTGTTCATTAGCACTTTCTCCCTTCTCATTCTGCATCCCCATGATGTGGTCCCCAGTGGAATCTGATTCACTCTCTATTCTACCCAGACTGCTTTTGGAAAACTTTCAGTTCTGAGGACCAAATGGCAGGACATCAGGAGACCACAGGTCAGTTCAACCTGGATGATGAGGGATGACAAGTCCATGTAACATGTGGAGGTGTAGTTTTGGTTAACAGACCTGGTGACAGTTCATCAGAGGAGTGACTATCATACCAGGACAAATCACCAGGAAGTTATGGCATCATCAGGCAAGCATCCTAAATATTATTTTTATGTGTTCTTTTCTATCTTGTTTGATGCTAAAAATTTAAGAAAGACTGAGAAAATTCTTATTTCCCCAGTTTAATATGTGGTAAAATCTTCAATTAATCATAGCCATTAGCAGAAGGAGATGTTCAGCTAAGGGAGACAGTAAGTGCCAAGTGGCTGGAAGGATCTGAGCTCAGGCAGACTGGTTATTTGCCGGGAATGTTGTAAAGGGAATTCCTTCACTGGCAGGAAGTTTGGAAGAGATGAATTTTAAGGTCTTTTCCAAATCTAAGAGCCAATAAAATAAATCTGAGTAAAATGATTCAACATTTAAAAGAATGAGGTCACTGTATAATACAGATATGGAAAAATGTTAAACATTATTATGTGAAATGAAGGAAGTCACTGAATGAAGCAAGTATGATCCCTTTGTGAAACATTAAAAAAATTTATCTGTCTGATATATTTATCAGGTACATATCTATATATTTATATTGAGATATATATATATCAGGTAGACTTTCTTAAAGGAGACCAAACTGATACAAATAGTTATTTAGAAGGAAGAATGAAGAAATAAGGAGGTTGACAATACACTTTATACCTTCTGTTGCATTAGTATGAATATATATCCCTGTTGTCTTTTAAAGGCAACTTTTGAAGCTAAAACGTTTCAAAAGTTAAAGAGAGAGAAACCTTAACACGAAAATTAGGATTGCAAAGCTTTCTTTAAAGCACCACATAATGCTATTAAAGCCAGATTTATTTATCTTAAAATCTGTGGAAGCAAGATGTATGCATTTTTTTTTTAAATGAGGAAAACGGAGGCATATCTGAAGTTCAGTCAATAAATCAAGAGCAAATCAATGGGAGGCTATGGCGGACAGATCAATATGTTTGAGCAGAACATCTGGCCAAAGAATCCCTTGGGTAGGAAGAACAATAAACTGGTGATGCGTGTTTATACTCTCTATGTGGCATACAGATGGCCCCTGTCTCCAAGCATATGAGGGGCTGTCACATAGAAGAAGGAGCGGTCCTGATCTACGTGGCTTCAGATTGCACTGGAGCCAGTGCGTGGAAGCTGCAAAAAAACAGATGTCCCCAACATAAGGAAAACATTTACATCAACCAGAGCTGTTCAATTTAACCCTCAGTTGGTAGTGAAGAGTCGTGGGGTTAGTATTAGGGGAAGGAAAGTAGATCCGGGGTCACAAACTGAAATGTTTTCAGAGGTCAGGCAAATAATGAATATGAGCAAAGAACTAGCCCAAACATTAAACAGTAACAACTTGAGATCACAGACACTGTCTAAAAGAGACAGCAGTTACTGATTCCAGCATATAGGCACTATGAGGGTAAGTGTGTCCTGTGTTGTCAGAGCTTTTGAATTTTTAAAACACTTTAAAAAGTTTTTTTTTCACAAAAACAAAACATGTCTGACCCCATGGCCATCACTTTGTGATCTCCAAGTGATGACAGAAAGTATTTGTTCAATAAGATACAAACTGAAAGCTTCTCAACACATTCTCTTTTACTGGATCTTCACCACCACCACTGGGCTAAGAGAGTAGCTATTTAATTTTACTGATGAGCAAAAAAAAAAGCCCAGTGACACTGAATTGCCTAAGGCCACAATACTTGAAAGGGCCCCAACTGAGCCTCTTTGATGCTAAATCCAGTGCACTACCAGGGTTCTGATAAGTTTAAAATTATATGATCCTCTATCCATAAAATAGAATTCTAATCAGCAATAAAAAGAAACAAACCTCTGATACATTCTACAGTGTGGCTAAACCTCAAAAACATATGCTAAAATTAAAAAAAAACCCCACAAACATATGCTAAGTGAAAAATGCCAAATGCAAAAGGTTACATACTATATATTCCCATTTATAGGAAATGTCTAGAAAAGGCCAATATACTATGAGAAAAGAAAGTAAATTGCCTGGGGCTGAAGAGGGGACTGGGGATTGACTGAACAGACATGAAAGATATCTTTGAGTTGGTAAAACGTCTCAAAGTTGGATTGTAGTGATGGCTGTTCAACTCTTTGTATTAAAAAGTATTGAATTGGACATTTAAAACCGGTGAATTTTATGTATTGATATACATATACCTCAAATACAGGTGTAATATAATGTTGAATATTTCAGTTATAAAAATCTTTGTATTAGAAAAAATAGATGATTCCATTTATTAAACATTGTCTTTCTGTGTTTGAAAGCCACACATTGATGATTTCTTTCCACATGTCCCAGATCAACTGAAAGACTGATCTATTGCCAGTAGAAAAAAAGTGTCACACAGATGACAGAGGGGCTTCCAAGGAAAGCCCACTGCCCACCACCTCTTCCGACACAGATCTTCAGGGATTTTGAGTTTAAGTTCAAGATTCCAAGTTAAGCACACAAATGTCCCCTAGAATTCACTGCAGTTCAAGTCATTTTAATGCCTGTGGCCTCTAGGTCAGGAACCCTTGATTAGAAGCCATTCCAAGAAGCTGACACCCTCCTTGCTCTTTAGAACATGTAAAAAGTGCTTTGTTTTAATTTTATACTTTGCTTTTCCCTTCAGTGCATCAGATCTGCAGCCAACTTGGAAAAAGTACAAGAGCCTCTTAAGTAGGCAATAACTCTAGGGTCAGTCAATTGGAACATGTTGGCTCCATGCCCACCCACATGGCTGTGGTAACACGCCATTGTTTTAATGTCAGGACCCGGTCCTTAAACTTCATTTCACACTCCACATACCACAAGTGTTCCTTATGGGTATAGATCACAATATAAGTCATTGTTTCAAGCACTTTGCCATCATATGGCCTTCTAATTCCTTGTGAAGTGTACGGAGGATGGGGAAATACCATACAGAGGCATCAATGGGCCACATGCAGTGAATTCTGAGCCTGGCTAGGAGGAATAAAACTTGTATTACAGATATCCCTGGGCAGAAATAGCTAATATTCTTCTAAATGGAATAAAGTTGTTTTTTTTTTAACCCAAACAGGATGCCTAAAAGCTATGCGTGGAGATGGGGATCAGGAGAGAAGGCACTAGACTTACGTGTTTTTCCCATTATGCTCACACTGGGCCCCTCAGTCTCCTGAAGCTTTGTGTGAACGCTGATTTTATATTGTGAATCGGGCTGAAGTCCATAGAAGCAATGCCTGCTGGTCCCTCCACCCACAGTGGATTCTTGCTTCTGTGTATCTATAATAAAAACAAAACGCATGAACGTGACGTTTTAAAAAACAGCCCACCATAGGTGATGTGCTTCTAAAATGCTTAATAGGCCTGGCCTGATCAGATAGCTCTAGCATGAATTATACTTGTTTGAGGAATTCTCTATTTATATAAAAGGCTAATATGCAAAGTGTCCCCTTGGGAGTTTGACCGGGAAAATGGGAGTTCCATTGCTTGCCATGACATGTGCTGACCACCAGAGGGTAGCGCAGAACATGGTGGGCGACCAGCGGTGGCCACAGGGCACTGAGAGAGTGAAGGAAGGAGTGAGGGAGGCAGGGAGGCAGGAGGCAGGGAGGTGTGAGGCAGGAGCGAGGGAACCTGATAGGCCCTGATTGCCAGCCAGGCCCTAGGAACCCTACTCATGCCTGGATTTTGTGCACCGGGCCTCTAGTATCATATAATTGGTTTTTTTGTTGTTGTTGTTGTTTTTTAAAGAATCATTGTATCACACAAATTTCCATTTATGTGATTTTCCCTCTAGAACAATTATGCAAATTTCCCCCTAGAATGATTTTCATCTGATCCTTAAGTCATATCCATCTAGCCAAAGCTTTACATAGCTTTATTTCTAGAAATTCAAAAACCAGTGTTAAAAATATATTTGAGACACCTGGGGAATGGAAGCATCTATGTCATAATGTCCCAGCAGAGTGTCCTGGGTCCTGCATGTTCTCTGGTTGGGGATCTCAGTAACTACTCATAGGACATTAACTACATCACACATATTATTTAGTGGTTAAAAAAACTCCTTCAAAATTTTATCTGCAGCTTATTAAATATAAAGAAAAGAGAGAAAACATAAAAACAGACCAGTTGCTTTTTTAAGTTCAAAATGCAAAAATGTTAAATACTTATTTTTTTCCTACTTTGAAAGGATAATACCTGTTAAATTTCAATCTATATTTTAACATATAGGAATAAAACATATATATTACAATATACATTTGTCAGAATAAACATAACATGTGTTATTTAAATGTCAATGGATAAATCCTGATTTTTAAAAATATAAACTAAAGCCTTTTGTTCAGTGAAATTTAAAACTTATTTTTATAACTGTACATATTAAAGAGTATCAAAGTGAACTTTGTAATATAATCTTTAGTAATACATTTGTTCAGAATGAATTAAAGTCTACTTCAATAATTTCTTTATCATGCACTTTACAAAATGATGAAATAAAAACATTATTGAGGTGTTTGTGAGGTTATATACTGCTATGAAAGGAGTTTGATAGCAAGGAAATGTTAGTAACCCTGTGCTCTGCTTTACTGGTTCCAAGTTCAGTCTGGCTCAGCACCCCGCTAAAGCTGCCTCTTTCTAACCCTTAACCACAACTTTGGAGCCTCTTGCAAGCTACTGTGAGCCACCTGTAATGCAAACATTTCCTAAACCCTATGCATGAATCATGTTCATCTATCGCCATAGGAGTTTCCAGGGACTCTCCTGGAATCAATTCTAGAAATGTGCTCTTCTGTCATCTCCTCTATTTCTTGTGACTACCCATGCACTCTACAGACCCTTGACAATAAGAATATAAATGGGTTTTACTGCTCAAAAAAAAATCTACAAATCTTTGGAAAACTGGAACAGTCACTGTAAAATTAATGGGAAACAGTATGGTTTGATTCCCAATACTAACAAAGAGGGGTTACATGAATGGGGGTGTATCCATGTTGCTTTTGGCATGTGTGATTCATGTCTAATGGCTTTGCCCTAAAGGAAAACATTTAAACTGATCAAATGATGACTAATTTCCTCAACCCCATGTGCCAAAAGCGGGGAGTTCATTTATTTTTTGGAACAGGGAGAAAAAATTCTGTCTTTGTGCATTCATTCTTGTGAAGCATGCTCTGGGTTGTAGTCATGCTGATAATGATGCCATAATTTGACTCACCAAAATGTCCTAAGAGTAGTTACTGAGATCCCCCAACCAAAGAATATGCAGGATCCAGATACTCTGCTGGAACTTTATGATATAAATGCTCCCATTCCATAGGTGTCTCAAATACCCTGATCCCCCATCATAACGTTACAGCTTCAGAAAGTTTAATCTTGATCTGGAAACAGCCAAGTGCCCATCAATAGATGAGAGGATAAAAAAAGCTGTGGTACATTTACACAATGGAATACTATGCAGCAGTAAAAAAGAAGGATCTCTTACCCTTTGAGATAGTCTGGGTAAACCTGGAGACTATCATGCCAAGCGAATTAAGCCAGTTAGAGAAAACAAATATCACACGATCTTACTTATAAGTGGAATCTGATGAACAAAATAGGTCCAGAGGTATGAATGCATGAGACAGAAAAACAGATCGCAGTGAAGGAGAGAGGGTTAAAGGGAAGGGGGACAGAGATCAACCAAAGAACATTTATGGCATAAAGCATGGACACAGACAATAGCATGGAGAAGGCCTGGGGTGGGGTGGGAGTGGGGTGGAGCGGAGCTAAATGGGAGAAAATGAGAGACATCTATAATACTGTCAACAATAAAATAAAATTTATTTAAAAAGTTTAATCTTGAGAGTAGGTTGCATTTCATGACCCCACCCCCTTTTTTTAAGGTAGGCTCTCCATTATGCTTCGATTCTCTCTCTTTGTAAAAAAGGGAAAATTGACATTTCAACACCTATACATAGAAGACAAATTGAGCATCCTTTGAAACTTTTTTTTTTTTAAACAGAGAGAAAAGAAATTCACCGAGTTATGGAGATGAGGGAGGGAATATAGCATTTGGGCCCATGTCATGTGTAAATACATGAACTTGAAGGGAAATGTTATGCTGAGCCTCAGATGCAAAGTCAAACTCAAAACAGCTGGAGAGAGACAGAACTCCAGAGCATCCACAGAACTAAAGGAGGCTCTCATGGGGTTCTGATTTACCCAAGACCAAACGTCTCTGTCTTTGGTCTATGCTACTACGAACCAAAAGCCTACAATTTAATTTGGCAAGTGAAGGACTGACTCAAAGCAGATTTTATTTCAGTCTCTCCTGAAAGGACCTTATCCTTCTGGTACTCTTCTTTTTGGGATGTGTCTTGGCTATGTAAAATGTAACAATATTTACATGGGAAGAGGACATCTGTATTTTCTCATGTCTTGCATCTAATCCCTCTTTATTTGAATCCATTCTTCCCCAGTCTTGGCCTTTATGATTTGGGAAGGACAGGGAAACAACCCCTCTCTCCCTCCAAAAAAAAAGGGGGGGGGTGGAAGTCAACTAGATCCGATCCGTCAATTTATTTCATGATCTTGAATTCAATGATGGATTTAGGGGCATCTGACACATATTGGCTCAGTTCCTGGACTGTTGTTAGTTACTGAGAAAGAGTAGCTCTTTTTTTTTTTTTTTTTAACAAAGATAGAAGCTGAGAGGATGTCATTCTGGATCTGACTGAGGCCAACTCACAGAATCTGGTTGAGAATGAACTAGATACTAGTGAACTTTGCAGTATATTAGCCAAGAAATCGATCCTTTTGCTTACGTCTCTTTTATCTGCACTTTTGCCATTTACAAACAAACAAACAAACAAACCTGAATGATACAGCCTCGCTACCTTTGCTCACAAAAACCTTGGAAATGTGTATGTATTTCAGGTAAAAACCTCAAAAGAAGTAATTTTAGAGAAACTGAAGCCCAAAGAAGAAAATTAGCCAACAATTATGGTTAGAACAGAGGTCTCTCCACTGACTTCATCCCAAAACATGAGTGCACATGACCAAAGCATAGGGAATATTATTTTTTTTTTTAAAGAAAGAACCTGGAAAAAGTTAACTGTCAAACAATAGGAATTTGCCAGAGGTATTTAGAAATAGGTCAGCCTGGGATAAAGTGTTTCTCCATCACATGGAGGAATCAGGTCTCATTTCTCTCTACTGTTTCTTCTGGGGTACAAACACTAAAGTTTCCGCAAAGGCAATATTTGTAAGCCAAAGGGTGCTATTACAGAGTTAAAACAGCAGGGACTCCAGGACTCATCAGCCCATGGAAGAATGGGCATCTGACCACAAGTCCTTCAATGCAGTGGTCAGGATGATGATCACATTTCTCTGTGAGATAAAGAAACCCAACCTAAAACAAGTTCATAGAGACAGAGAACAGATTAGTGGTTGCTAGATGCAGTGGGTGAAGGGTGGGAGAAATGGGTGAAGAAGGTCAAAAATAAAAAAGAAAGAAACTCAATCTAATTTGTCCCCCACTCCAAAGTAGAAAGACTACTTGACCTAAATTGTGTAAGTTAAAATATTTAAACATAGTCCTCACTGCTATCTCCACATTCACTCCCCACATCCAACACTCCTTTATGAGGTTATTGATTATAGTCTGTTGATGTCCTGCAGGTTAATGATATTCAGTTAGATAACTGGATAAATGAGATGTAGGTTAACTAGGCTCATAAATCTCTCAGCTATAAATGTTGATGAAAAATGAATACTTTTGTTCATTCTTGTTTAATTGAGACTATTGAGTCTCTGTTAAAGAGGCTTCTGGCAGCCTGAAAATTATACCGAAGGAGTACAAGTTAACTTAACTTGAAGATAAGAAGGAAATGTAGACTCCTATTTTTTTGCTAGTAAAGATCCTGGCTTCAGAAAGAGCTTATGGATTACAAGATCAATGTCACCAGGCACATCAATCATATCCTCTGATAAGAATCCCAATGTTATTTTGCAAATAGGCTACACTAAAAGCATTTAGTTAAAAATACATATGGAATTCGCTAATTCCACCAATAAGCCAGTTTTCACATAATTTTATGTAAATCTACATAATTATAATTTTTATGAAAGAAAATAAATAAATCCACAGGAGCCTATGTCCCTTCATGCCAACTTCTTAAATGTTATAAAAAGATAAAAGCATGAGGGGGTAATATGGAAGTGTGATTTTTATACTTAGTATTTTTTAAAGCTTAACAAATTCCAATAAACATCAACCCTTCCATATTAAAATGTGAATTAGGTAGTTGTTTAAAGATATATGAAACATAACTCAAGATTTTATGATTGTTTCACAAGGATTGCATATCTTTCATCTACTCCTGCTTAAGCATCCCATTAATCATATTAAATACAACCACAGAATCCCTGTGACGGTCCTGACTTTCCCTTACTCAATGTTCATTCTAAGTTAAAGTCAGTCACTTATGTTTAGCCCGTGTCAGGCTAAATGAATTCCTACAGGATCACACACAGGGAACCAAGGGATTAGTGGCTTTAATTCAGCCACTAATTGTTGAGACAATGCCTAGGTTGGGGTGGGTAGAATCTCTTCTCATGGTGCTCTTATTCTATTGTGTACCATCTCCTGAATGAGAGTCTGTTGCTCACCAATTACCCCAAAAGTAAAAAAAAAAAAATCACTACGAAAAATATTCCAGTCAAATCTAGATCCCCAATGAGTAACTACCACAATTATAGCACTGATTTGAATGTATGTTAATCCTGGCTATTGGGTTCCTATTACAAATAGAAGCTGACATTTCTCAGGTGCTTAATGTGGGCAAAGCACTATTACAAGTCCTATCTCAGCTTAATCCTCACAGGATACCAGCATATCGGCACTATGGTCCCACCATTAACAGACGAGAAAGTGGAGGTTGGAGAGTTCAATAATTGGCTTAACCAGTCACTTTGACTCCATATCCTGCATGATCCATAACACAATATTGCCTCCTCAATGAGAGGGCTCTGTTCTAATGTTATATGCATGTTGTCCATAGGGACTTTCACAGAGCTAAGTCCTCAGTCCTTGACAAAAACAGATGTGATGAATTGCACTTACCCTGGATGGATTCTATAACTATCCTGTAGGCAGTGGCATGACGGTGCACCTGCCACTGAGCACACAAGCTGGTCATTTGAATCTGGTCTGCTTGAAGATTGGTCACACCCAAAAACACTGTAAGGCAATAGAAACAGAGCTATAGCACACTGCAGACAATGCCACAAATGTCCCCAAGTCTACAGTGAACTTTAACATGATAAAATATGAATTCAAAGTTCCTTAGTGAGAGGTGGGAAGAAACCCATCAACTCACAATACATTTTTTCACTAAAAAATAAGTTTTATGACATGAAAAAGCAGTTGTAAAACATTATATATTTTTTAGTCTGTCATATTTGTAAACAAGAAAGGAAATATTCAGAGGAAAAGGACTAGGTGCAATGGATGCTGAAATTATGGGTGACTTTTAATCTTCCCTTTTTATTTATTTGTTTTCTAAATGTTTAAAAATTAATACACATTACCTTTATAATAAAAATTAAATACAATATGTACTTATCAACCAGTGATAAGAGAGTGAAGGAAGGAGTGAGCCAAAGATAGTGATGGCTTAAATAAAAGGGAAGAGCAAAGTGGACAAAATGGAAGTCTTACTCAAGGGAGAGCAGTTTCATGTGGACTGGCCTTCAAAGCATGATTGAATAAAAATGAGAAAATGTTTGAAAATTTAAAAATAAAAGATTTAACACAGATTCCTATTAATGTATGATGTTAAAAAATGATTCACCAAAAAGTTATGTTGGGAAGCAGTAAGATTATTGTTTTTCTAAGACAGCAGAAGAGTAAGCATATGATGTTTATCATTTAATCCAAGAAGAAAAAGCAAAAAATTAATAATATTTGCTTTCTCTAATGACCTCTGGTGCTCATCCATCTCATTTTTTCTTACTTCTTCCTCTCTCTTAGCTACCTAATAAAATTTTTTAAAAAGCTCAAAATTATTTTTCAAATTGGTGAAGATGATCTTGTCTAATCACAACTTACATCTGTACATCATTCCTGTGTGTTAGATCAGAGAAGATCTATCTTTTTAAGGCCAATTAAAATGCCCTCTGTACCCCCAAGAAAAAAGGAAAAGGACATCAATAATGATTCATATAACCACAATAAATTAAAAAAACAACTGAAATTAATTTAGTTGCCATTGTATGGAGTTTTATTTTGCTTGGGAGAAAGGGGAAAAAACACATAATAAGCTGCTCTCACTTTTACTTTGATGATAGAATATAAAACAATTTAATACTTTGTCTTTTTACATCTATTTGGAATACCCAACATATTTATTAAAGGAGAGAAGATGGATGGAACAGAAGAAAGAGGAAAGCAGACAAAAGGTGGTGGATAGACGGAAACAAAACAGATTAAGGAGAAGAGAGATGGATGAAAGAATCCTAGAGACAGAAAAATGACACAGACAGAAAGGGTAATCTAGAAAAGAACTGGAGATCAACTGGAGGAGAGGAGAGGGAGAGGTTGGGAGGGGAGGGAGAGGCAGAAATGCACAGGGGCTTTAAGGCATTTCTGAGGAAGGACTGTAGGGTTACTATAACAGCACAACAGGAAATGCCTTGGTTAAGGCAGTGCCCAGAAGAATAGCACTTGAACAGCCAAGTACAAGATCAGGACCACAGTCCAAAGTCTTGCCAAATCTCTTCAAGACAGAGACTATTTCCTGTGAGATTAAATTGACTCTGTATCTAGCCCATACGATTTGAAGATACTCCATAAAAGAGTTGCCTTTCAGTGGCCAAATATAGGTGTCTTGATATCTGTTAAAATATATACCCCATTCTTGCACAATTCCATGTATCCGTTCAATTGATTAGAGATGAGCATGAGCTAGGAGCCAAGGGCATAAAGCACAATTACTACAATAGTAATGGTAGTTGTTAACTGAGCACTTGCCATATGGTAGACGCTTCTAATATGTTATCTGTTTAATCTTCACAATCAGCCTGTACATGGTTATTATGATCTTCATTATAGCGTGGAGAAAACTTGGGCCCAGAGAAGCTAAGTAATTTGCTCAAGGCCATAGCTAACAAGTAGCAGATTTAAGGCTCAGACTTTTGATCACATCGTGACTGTCACTCTCAAGGGTGGGGCCATGCACTCAGGATGAATTTCATTAACCTGTAGCCAAACCATTTTTATGTTGGACTTTTTTGTATTATCTTTAATGTGTATTAAAAATATTGGTCTTCTGTTTAGAGTAATTATGTGGGTTTTGAAAAGTATTTAAGTAAAAAAAACCAAAAAACTGTACATTGACTTAAAGAAATCTATCAAACAGATGGTGGGGAAGTACACCAAACATCAGCAATACGGAACAAACACACTGGAGTTTGGAAACACTGCATTATGCCACGGATGTCTGGGTTGCATATGCCAATGAGAAGTCCCAGATGGTGGGACAGCATGAAAACCCTCAAAAGGTGGAGAAGGAAGTCCTTAGACTGTCTTTTAGGCATTGTGTGTGTGTGTGTGTGTGTGTGTGTGTGTGTGTGTGTGTGTGTTAAGGTAGGGAGTAATGAAAGTTTTGAGAAAAGGTAATTTCCCCCCTGGACCAACTTTAACTGGCTTGGCTGTATCATGCTACACGCTACTTGGAAAATTTCACCTAATTTGAACAATGCCAACAAAGACTTTCCAGAAGGAAATCCTATCCGCCACCATCAAGTCCAGTTGAACGCCAGGCTCTGACAGTCCGCCTGCCAGCCAGGACTCTGAACTAGAGCCCGAGTTAGGAACACACCTTTCTTTCCACGAAACACCATCCAGAAAGAAAAGAAAAAGAAAAACCAGCCACCAAGTTGAAGGAGGAGTTGAGTTACAGTAAAAACAGAGCGGCAAAACCACACATGGGGCTGAGACAACAGGACATGGGCCTTACGTGTTTTCACCACGCCTGTCAGGGCGTCGCTGAAGCCAGAGGCCTGGGAGGCAAATATCTTCACATTGTAGTCCATTCCGCTGAGGAGGTTTGTGATGAGAATGGTGTTAATGTTCGGTCCCACGAACGTTTCCAGGGTTGGGCCGGCAACTGAAAGGAGAAAGAGCGTATTTCGGTTACAACAGAATATGAAAACACGCCTGAAGTGAACGGTACTTAGTCATGGTTTCCTAGTTGCCCAGGATTACACAGCAGCGCTGGGGTTTGAATCCAGGCCCATCCGGCTCTAAGATGGGCACACCTGATGACCATTCTTGGGCTTTCCCAGGGAACTCGTCCTTTTTCTTAAATATAGCTCTTTCTTTAGTGCTCCCTCAAAGAAGCTGGCCCACCTCACACTCCTCCAGCTGCCATACCGTGAGGCCTTCACAGTGGGGCTACCGTGTGGCCACAGGCTCTGGGACACTTGCCCGACTGAAGAAGTTATCCTCAATGGCCCCTTCGCAGACACCCAGTCATTTCCTAGGTAAGGTCATGACACCCAGTCATTTCTTAGGTAAGGTCACAGCTTCATCATTCTGATGATCTCTACACTAACACTAACCATCCTAGAAATGCCTTTTTATTTTCAAGAAAGGTAAGAGACTCTTCCCATTTTTTTTAATAAAAAATATGTTTTTATTGACTTTTACAGAGAGGGGGGATAGAGAAATAGAAATATTGATGAGACAGAAACATCATCAATGGGCTACCTCCTGCATGCCCACTCCTCCCCCCGCCCAGAAGATCAAGCCCACAACCCAGGCATGTGCCCTGACCAGGAATTGAACTGGTGGCCTCTTGGTTCCTGGGTCAATGCTCAACTGTTGAGCTACACCAGCTGGGCAAGACTCTTCCCACTTCTTAAAGCCAAAGGTAAAGCCAAAAATAGATAGAAATATTTTGTCAAAACAAAAATAACTAATATTAAAAGACATGCCAGCTGCCTAATCATGCTAACAATATATGTTTTTAAAGTATACTTACCACTAACAGGTTTGTAGACGATCCTATAGCCCTTTACAGGGGAAGATGGGGGATCCCACGTAATACGCAACCTGTTGTACCATTCTTCTGAGACCTGTAAGTTTTGGGGACCAGATGGTGGCACTGAGCAGGAAAGAAAAGGAAAATCAGGATTTCATGTGGTTTCCATGTTTACAATCCATAGTATTGTTAACAAAATCTGAAATATCTTCCCACAGTGTTAAAAATATTTACAGGTGAAAATACACTAAAACACATGGTGAGAAACCTTTGAGGGGCCACATCTGTTTTGAATATTAAATATATAGGAACTAATTGTGCTTGTGATGAAATGCTTTTATCTGAAGATCAGCAGTTCATTCAATGTCACTTTGGTTTCTTCTTCAGTGAATTTTAAGTAAAATTGAACTGAAAAGTGTTTATTAAAATTTCCATATACATGCCACTCTGTTCCACTATCCAAGTATGTTTGTTGAGCAATATCAAGGGTGAGCACACAATAGTAATGATGGTAATTCTTGGAGGTAAGAGTCTGATGATTTTCTTTTTGCTTTTATCTTCCTACTAGTGGCCTGGTGCATGAATTCATGCACATTGAAAGGAAATTAATTCAAAGAAATATTTTAATATCGCTATTCACCCTTTCTTTATAATAAAACTGTCAACCAAATTCATCTTTGACAATGACAGATGGAAACACACGTGTGCGATTGGTGCCCGCGAGAGCTTTATATGTATCG